CAACATTCCAAGCGATCCTCCTATTTTCGCTTGTAATCAAGATGTAAGAAATGCTTATTGGATCCACTAAAAGCTTTTTCAATACAAGGTTTAAAGCCGTGATGTCAATACTGGCCATCTCCAAACGGATTTAGTGAAACTGTCGGCGTTGCTTTAAGAAGGGTTCGTGGATCTTTCGGAAGTGTATCGGAAAGCCGCTTGTTCAATATTTTTTAGAGCTCCTTCACCGCACTGTGCCTTATGTAGGGATCGTATAACTGTAGTTACTCCAGGAGTTTCATATTGTCGATCGTCTCATCTTCATCGTGTTCAGAAGCACTGAAGGGGTTTTCATTTCATATATCTGAATAGATTTGTTTTTTATAATGACAAAAAATTTCAGAGTATTTTTTGTTGTAGCAGTATATTTCTTATCTGTGAATCTTAGGCCTCTTATAAAGATGATAGTTGTAATGAAGCTTTAATGAAGGTCTAAGACTGCTTCAAGTTTTATATCGGTCATAAAAAGTGTACCATAAAACATAATTGTATGTTTTGTTTTGGTTTTATTCTTCGGTTATAAGTAGTGATGCAGAACCACCTTACAGCTACCGTTAAAACTATGAAGTCTGAGTTTTAATTTAGTAGTCATAAAACAGTTTTATAGACGACTTGACGGCCTGATTTTATGACAAGCACACAAAACCGTAATACAACCACAGGCTGGAAGGGATGCTATGATAAAACAATGATAAAATAAGAATAAATCTTCCAAGCATTTGGATTGTTACTTGGGCGGTTATCATCGTACAGCTCCCCCCAGCCTGTACCGTGGAAGTTAAAATCTCCCATGACAACCATGGAGCGGGAAGTACCGCACATATGTCGAAAAGTTGTTTGCGATTAACAGAGATTCTAGGAGCAATATATACAGAAGCAATACAAAGGCTCTTACCTTTAATGGTAGCCTGACATGCGACAACTTCAATACCGGGGAATGCGGGAAAATCCACTCTATAGAAGGAATGGCACTTTTTGATCCCCAAAAGTACCCCTCCTCCACGTGATTCCTGGATCGTGAGGATTCACGTGGAGGAGGGGATGTTAAAATCATAAAAAGGGAGATCAATTTCTGAAGAGAGCCATGTTTCACAGAGGTCAAATGCATCGCAATTGTTGTTATGGACTAAATACTAGAACGAATCTAATTTCCGAATAAGACTTCGACAATTCCACTGTAGAACAGTGATCAAATCCCCGACCTCGTTTGGAAAATTATCCATCGAAGGAGATGATAGCTGCAAGAAGGGGCCATTTTGAAGTCAATTGCTTCAAGAAGGATTTCACAGTGGGAAGCAATGTGAGGACAATGCTTTTCAGTGGATCAGAAATGTTGAGGTATTTGAGAATACCGTCCACAATGTCATCAAATGAGAACAACCCAGATGAAGCAGGGGTTTCTGTTCTTAAAATTGGGGCATCAGAGGTTTTGGATGTCCCCGGAAGAGCTGGAAAACCCTGGGTATAGTCAGTTCTGCGGAATCCAGGAGGAGTAGAAGTCTCATTTTTTCCACCAATACTCTTATTATTATGATTGGGGACAATTTCGCTGGAAAATCGGCAACTTTACTTTGAAGTAAACAAAGAAGTAAATCTTAGCAACGATTGGCAAAATGTGAACACAAAACAGTGATGCCGTTTTATGTTATATTTTGCGTCATACTTGTCATCGTGTGCCATGACGTGCCGAGCAGTGTGCCACGATGTGCTTCGGCACAGAGTGCAGAGTTGATTGACCCTTGAGTTAGCTAGAAGTTTTTAAATATGACTAAAAGTTAATGTTCTACCATTTTTTTTCAATTTTCAAGTGTCCATAGTTTTAAATACTAAAAAAGTTTGTTTTTTTTATAAGCTTTTTTTTAAATAAATTATAAATATTGAAGTATTGCTTTTTGAGATATTTTAGACTTTAATAGTTTTAAAATTGACGTGTAATTTTTTTCAAAATAACTATACTTTTCTTAACAACTTTGTCTCATCCGTCATTTCGATCAGAAGTGACGTTTTAGTGCTGCATTTTTTTTTTTGAAAAATGTAAAAGACGCTATTTTGAAAAACAAAATACAAACTACAAAATTGCCGACCCTCGGAAAAATGTTAATGATTTAAACTGGTCTGTAGGCAGGAGCCAAATAGCCTAGTCGTAAAGGCACGGTATAACCAAGCCAGAGGGGCGGACTCGATTCCCGGTCTGATCAAGGGAATCTTTTGGGCTGGCAATTTTCGCGACATGCTTGTATATAGAGTATTATTGTAAAAGGATGACGATGGTCCCACCTCTTACCCCTACAAAGGTTTGAGCTGGACGATTTATCTTTAAGATAATTAAATATGACATTTTAACCAGATTAGCAAACAAAATCGAACTGGTTACAGATATAAATTCCCCCTAGAGTTTACAGGTGCTTCACAGCGATATGAATGTGGAAAAGCTCAGGCGTCCACCTCTTAGTTCGCCTTTTTGTCCACCTAAAATTCATAAGTTTTACAAGCAATCAAGATTTCATTGTGTAGTGTTGCAACAATATTCAAATTCTCAATAAATAACTGTGGAACTGTATTTAGAACTGCATTTAGAGCACTAAGTTAAGAGCAGGCAATACGCTTATATGCGATAAGCCATAAACTTGAAATGCGCAGAATAAGAAGAAGAAGAAGAAGAAGAAGAAGACATGATTTGTCCGGGCTGAAATTTTAACCCGTGATTTTGGCGTGAGAGGAATAGATGCTAACCGCTACGTCAGGGTCACCCCTTAAAATAGATAGATTAATGCTAGTATTCTTCTGATCAAATTTCAAAATTTTCACAACGGAGTGTGGCTATTTTTGAAGTTTGATGAGAAGAATACTAGCATTAATCTTTCTATTTTAAGATGGATTTACTGAAAATTTAATTGTACTTAACCTAAGTTTTCTATATTAATTTTTTTTTTCAATATAGAATACAAATTATGCAATTATGCAAATCGAAGAAGGTTGAATTAAAAATTCATTTTTTGTTGATATTTGGCCTGGAACTGTTCAATTATGGAACACTTCCATTTAGTACTAATTAAGGGGGTAGTACACTTTGAACGTCAAAAAAGTAAGGCATTTTCGTTAATTTTTGTAAGCAATAAAACACTCCGGGAGGGCAAATATGTTATAACCTATTTATTAGTCATCCTTCGAACTACAATTTGTATTTTTTTGAACTCGATTGGCGTCTCCCCGTGGCCGGTGCACCAGGTCGTGCGGGCGTCCTCATGCGGAAGTGGGAAAACGGCGTGGGAAAATACTCCTTTCCATGTGATCTTGGAACATAAATCGAAGAAAAATCCTGATTAGTAATGAAATTTTGGTTAGAAATACGTATTCCGATTTTTTTTAAATTATTTTTTTCAAAAGTTGTGGCCTTAGGAAAAAAAAAGTCCATTTTTTCACCCTAAAAATGCTTACAAAATCGTGGATTAAAAATCCATTTTTGACAAAATCGAAAATGTGGATATGTATTTCTAAGCACAATTTAATTCTGAACAAGAAAACCTAGGCGATATTCAAATTTGATGATAACTGGTTAGAGTTATTTCCCACGCCAGTTTGAAAAACCCCGTTTCGAGATAAACGCGTTTAATGCGCTCAAATGCTCTCTCAGCGCGCCGGTACACGTTTTAGGAAATCGCTTCGTAAAGCGGTAAGGAATATTCTGGCGGACTTGGAGTCTTTCCTAAATTAAGGTATACATCCCAAGGAACATTTTAAGCCAAAAAAAAAATGCATTTTTTTTTTGAAAAATCAAAGTGTACTCCCCCCTTAAATGGAAGTGTTCCATAGCTGTGAAGGGACTGCACACAAGACTGATGCAAAATTTTATGTTTTTGATTTTCGTTTCTCAGAGCTTAACCGGTTCCAAATCGGATCTTGATCAGCCTCCCAAAATGTAAACTCATTTGGATAGAAGCTGACAGCTGTGCACAAACCGTTTGAAGTTCGTATGGAAATTATACTGTTGGAAAAACTTTCTTTTTATTCATTACCTTTTAGCGTTTTTCTATACACCTTTGAGAAAAAGTTCAATAACTCTTCTCTTCTATTGTAAGAAGGTAACAAAATGAGGAGGCTCTTTCTTCAGCGTCAGAAATGACGGGTTTGGACTAGGTTTATTCTGAGTGATAAAAATAATAAACTTATTCACCCCTTATTCTTTAACTCAAATTAGACCGATATAAAGTTGAGAAGAGTTGACTCACAATGTTGTAATACTAACGCACTAAAACCACCATTCACACAAGAAAACGGAAGCTTCTCAAATTTACAGATGAAAGCTGCATAAAACAGCTGCGAATTTTACATCAACTGTGACAACGTACTTGACAAAGTTTTGCAAACAAAATCTACTACCGCATTGCGTGTATGTATACAAACAAATGTCCATAGGTTATGCAAAACACTCACAATAACAAAAGGCAAATTTAAGCAGCGACAAGAAATTGGTGAACTTTTCTTCAATCGAGGAATACGATATACCTACAATGCTTCGAACAACATAACGTACAAAACATGCTGACCAAATCGTTTCCAAAAATCGCGAAAATGTAGGTCAGCTCGGTGCACGCGTTGGCCAGGCGGTACTGCTAGGAACTCGCGGTCAAAACAAAAGGCAAATTCACAAAGGGGAAGTAACTACCCGACCTCAACGCAATGTTATTCACATTTTGAACATGATTTCAGAATCAAAACGATTCACAATAATTCAAGCGTTACTATTCAAATCGACGTATCTGCTTTTGTAGACAATCACTTCAATCTTAACTACTAGCTCACTCACAGAAACTAACAACACCAACTAGTAGGGGAAAGATTCACCTACCTGATGATGGTGTTTGTTTGCGTTGAGAAAAATCGTCGATTGAAGTGATTGTTTACAAAAGCAGATACGTCGATTTCAATAGTTACACTTGAATTGATGAACTCTCTTTCAGATGCTACCCAAAACACAGAACAGCGGAGACTGTCCATCAATCGACTAAGCCTGCTGCTCATGCTCCTGATGGCAGCTGTTGCTTTCATGTTCATATTTACCCTACTGATGGGACTCCTCACAAATTTACTTATAAGTAAGTATATGGCAAAGACCTACCTTGATTAATGTAGACATGACACTGATAATATTGTGTTTTACAGCTCCCAATCACACTCCAACCGTTCAGGTTGTCTTCCAAGGGGAGACTCATTCCAAGAGTAGTCTCTCGGATGTACTGGTGGAACCAATGAAACGCCTAGTGACTGGTGCCATGCACCTGATGGGCTTCGAAAAAGAGCACAAATCCAGACGGAAACGGGACCTTAACAACGACGATGATAACCGCATTAAAATGCTGGACGATAATCAATTGGATAGGAGTGAGGAATCGGAGGAAAATGTGGGTCAGGCTGACCTTGGAACGGGAATCGATGGAGCCCTGCAACGATTGGTGCAGAATAATCAGAGCTTGAAAATTGTTTTTGCTCCCCCTGAGAGAGATGGGAATAGAAACGATATAGTCAAATCGTTCAGAAAAAGACGTAGAAGGAAGCGAAATGCCGAGCAGGATCAAAGCTTACGGGAGAAACGATACGCCAAAGAGTATGAGGAATTAAAGAGCCAGTACAGTCGATGTAAGAAGGAAGCTCCGAATGAGCAGGATTGCGATAAAATCTACGAGAAACTGAAGCGGTTGTCAAAGGAGATCAAGCACAATTTTAAAGAGATGAGTAGTTTGATCCATGAATTCAAGGGAAAATATGACAGTGATTTGAAGGGCGATCTGAGTGACAGTTTTCCGAAGAAAAAGGAAAAAAAGTTGGAAGATAAACACTTAAGTTCAGATTCGATGGAATCAGACGAGAGAGATGGAAAAACGACGAAGAAAGATAAGCCATTGCCTACTATGTTGGATCAAGCAACAGATAGCACGACGCTACAGGATGATCCGTTGACAACTACGCCTGCTGAGATAAAAACGACTACTGAGATTGGGAATGGTAATATTACTGCTGCCAGTGTTACTGAAGTAAACCCTATAGAATTCAGCACTCCCCCAGCACAAAACGCACATGAAGACTCTTTAGTTGTATCACTAGTCCCGATTCTTGAAGATACAACTATGAATTCATTTAATTTCGAGCTGCACGAAGCACTGAATGAAATGGAAAATAATTCCATAGACGACCCAGCATGGGAGATTCATCCAACAGTTTCTCCCATCCCGACGATTATAGAGCAAACAATAACTGAAGCCCTGCATAAAACGTCAACGTCGACATCGACTACCGAAAAAACTGGAGAGCATTCTACAAAGGGCACAACCTTGGACGATTTAATCAAAACCTTAAACATAACATCGTCAAATTCTTCAGTACCAGAGCCGTTCAACATGCAGAAACACGCTCCAGTAGAGGATGACTGCGTAAAAAACCTGGATGACCTGCTGAAGAAACTTCCCGAGTTCAGAGGAGATGAAGATTTCGATCATAATTGCAATGAAACTTCGACGAAAACTCAAAACGGGAGTCTTGTTGGTCAACCTGAAATCAGCAAATTCAATATGCAAAACTTACAATACAACCCCGATGAACACCGGCCAAAAATGGACGAGTGTATCAAAAGCTTGGACGACCTATTGGAGGCGATTGATCTGGAAAATGGAGATTTGAGGAAATCAAAAAAATGTAATTCAACTACAACTACAACTGCGGCGCCAAGCGTGCAACGGTCAGCCGCCCACGAGGAATTTGGTCGAGCACCATATCCATTTCACGAAGAGTTCAGTGATCAATCCGCTCTCCCCGTAGAGGTGCATGACTTCATCATGGCTCGATCGCGCAACCGTGAACAATTCAATCATGATTTCCCGACAACCATCGAGGCTCCAGAGTCTAGGGCTGCCAGTCATATGACTCAACAAACGGTTGCCGCCAGTGGACCATTTCTGAATCTTTGCGATCAGCTACGAAGTCAGCAGAACCCTGGACCAATCAAAACTCTCTCGAGCAACCAACATCATTTCCAAACACAGCAATACGGGGGCCTCGGTCAACCTAGTATTCCGGTTACAGGTGAAACGCTCAAGGCCTCATCCCAAGTCATGCTCAATTCCGCATACGGTGGCTTTTCTCCGAACCACTTCTGCTTCTACCAGGTTCCACCGACCTACGGAGCCATGCGACCGGTCTATGCGGGAGGCCACAACTACCCGTCAGGTAAGTCGCTTGCACTACCCGAAGGGCCCACTCCGGAGCACTTGTTGAACGATCCCGTGATCGAAACTATCATCGAACCACGTGGTGATTATTCCCAAGGTTCGTTCCGCAGACAACAGGACACAAACTTACTCACTAAAGATTTGTTCTTTCTCCACAGGTGTCATGAACGTACCCGTCAACATTCATAATCTACCCGGAAGGAGAACGGCAGATGATTCGGAGCTACAAAACGCTCAACTGCTCTGTAGTCTGGTCGTACAATCAACCACAGAGTCTTCCCTAGCAGGCAACGAATCTTCTCTATCAGAACCAATCGTGGCTAGTGTTCGGGCTCGTGGCCACCACCGAAAGTGCCCACGGGGCAAGGTTCCCTGTGCCGACGGTGTCCAGTGCGTACGGAGTTCCCACGTGTGCGACACCCGAGTGGATTGTTTCGATGGAAGTGACGAGTCGCACTGTTCGTGTTTGTCACGGTTGGCAGCGAAACGGCGTTGCGATGGTTACGTCGACTGTCCACTCGGTGAGGACGAAATGGGTTGCTTCGGTTGCGATAAGTTTTCGTTTTCATGTTTCAATACGGTCTTCGAGTACGAGGAGGCACATCATTCGCAGACGAAGTGTTTCACATTGATCGAAAAATGTGATGGCTTCGATAATTGTTTGAACCGGAAAGATGAACAGGACTGTACGTTGTTGGTGCGGGATTTGAGAAGTCCCCTGGCGTTCACGGTTGGCCATTCAGTTGGGGTTCTGCATCGAAACCATAAGGGTAAGTGGTATCCGGTTTGTCATAGTCCTATGCCGTTGGCGAAGGAAGCATGTGAATCGGAACTTGGACCACTGGCACGTGATCCATTGGTGGTGCAGCATCACGGAGATTTACCGGGGCCGTTCATCCAGTCGAATCCACGAAGTCGACACGTTTTCCAACCGGAGTTTACAGACACTTGTAATGGATTGATCAACTACGTCAAGTGTCCCGCTCCGAAGTGTGGATCGACAAAGCAGAATGAAATGCAAAGTGCTCGTATCAAGATTCGAGGTAAGCGCAACGCTTCCGAAATGGTACAGATCGTTGGAGGGATGAAAGCCGATCCGGGCGCTTATCCGTTCATTGTGGCAATCTTCAGAGATGGGAAGTTCCACTGCGGAAGTAGTATAATCAATGAGCATTGGGTAAGTTCGGATAAATTCTGTTCAGAATTAAATTTCTAAGCCATAACTTTCCTCAGGTCCTCACGGCAGCCCATTGCTGCGACTTCTATCACAAACACTACTACGAGCTGAGGGCCGGTCTTCTCCGCAGGCGCAGTTTTTCTCCTCACGTTCAAGTGTCCACGGTAACTCACGTTCTTGTTCACCACAAATACAACCCGGAAATGATGATGAACGACATCAGTCTGATGCACTCGGATAGACCATTCCAGTACAACCGATGGGTAAGGCCCATCTGCCTACCGGAGCGGCACATGACTACCAATGATCGAGACTGGATCTGGGGACCGAAACCAGGAACGCACTGTACGGCCGTCGGTTGGGGTGCACTCAGGGAACATGGAGGATCTCGTATGTCCTAAGCTAAATCTCCTAAACTTCAACAACTAATATGATCTTAATTCTATAGCGGACCATTTGATGCATGTCACCGTACCGATTCTGCCCTTCTGTAAGCACAAAAACGATCAAGATGGACTGGAGATATGCGCTGCCAATGAAAGTGGAGGCCATGACGCTTGTCAGGGCGATTCGGGCGGACCGTTCGTCTGTGTGAGCATTTCCAGTCCTCACGAGTGGTACCTGGCTGGCGTGGTGAGTCATGGAGAGGGTTGCGCTAGAGCTAACGAACCTGGTGTGTACACCAGGGTAGCACTGTTCATCGAATGGATTCATAAGAAGACTCGTGAAGTATTGCCGCCATCTTCAACGCGACAGAATTGTCCAGGTTTCCAGTGTTCGGTTGGAACTTCACTCTGCTTACCGAAGAAGAAACGATGCAATGGGGCGGTAGATTGTCTAGGAGGCGAGGATGAGCTGCACTGCTCATTGGATCAACTGCTGGCGGAGTCGATTAGAGAGACTACTACTGTTGAAATGCCATCAAACAGCACTACTTCAAGTTCTACGTCAACGACTTCCACCACTGAACCTGCCAGTCAGAAATTCGATTTTCTTGCTGAAAAAATTACACAGGACACGGATCATACAAGTACTCCGCCAACTTCCGTGACGAATGATTACGAATCTATGAGTACAAAAGAACAACCAAGCACTGAAACGGCGACCACAGTCTCCGGTACAACTCTTCATCTAGCTGATGAAATGTTAACAGAGGCAATAACTATTACCAGTACTGGCTCGAATTCCTCTGAACCAACTACAGATAAATCTATTGCTACGCTTAACAGCAATTCACAATCTTCTTCCATGAATGATGAGAATGTGACTACTTTAATAGAGATTACTACGTCTAGTACTGAGCCAACGATGGCTGAGTCTAGTACATCGCTGGAGATGGAAATGACTACTAACAGTGCCTCACCGTCTTCTTCATCTGAAGAAGAGAATGCGACTACGACAACTGACATATTGACTGAAATGTCAACAGATAGTACTACTGCAGATTCCATTAAACCAATGACAGTTGAATCTAGTACTGCACGGGACTTGGAAACCACTGCTTACAGTACCTTACCATCTTCCTCATCGGAAGAAGAAAATTCTACAGTAACCTATAATCCAAGTTCTATCAGCAGCACAACATTATCCTTAAAATCGTCCGAAGAAGATGATTCCAATGAAAACACCACCTATTCAACCACGGAATCATCAATGCAAGAAACATCTACAACAACTGAGCTCAACATGAATCACACTTCAACCGAACAGATATGGATGCAAGTTAACGAAGCCATTGCTAACTTGAAACCTCAAACACCAAGCCTGAATCGTGAGATCGAAGACTTCGTCCAACTGGAAGAATCAGTTGAACTTACAACATTTTATGATCTCCTAGCTACAACAACAACAACAACACAAACGACCTCAACGAAAGATTTCGAACATCTGGAAGAATCCGTTGTACTTACAACACCTGATGATCTTGCTATGAGATCAACGACCTCAACCGAACCTAGTACTGATGCCACTAGTACGACAACCACAGATGCCACTCAAATGCATCCGGCATCGGACACCACTCCACACGACATGGATCAAAGTGAAACGCAGCTCGAATCTGTGACGAAGGACGTTGCTGCGGAGGAAGGGGATCAGCATCCATTCCTGCGGGAAATCCACGAACTCGTGGAACAGAAAAACAAACGGCTTAACGAGTTCCGCATGTCGGTGCACTATCTGCACACGTCGATGAAGAACCAGTCGATGAACGAAACTTACCGCTACAAGCGGTTCGTCTGTTCGAGGTGAGTGTTTGGGAAAATGACAGTTAAGGTAGGCTTACACGATTGGCCAGACTAACTCACTTTTACTCACTTATATGATAAATTTCGTAGGTCACTCAGCGCTTAGTAGCTGACGATTTTAGAAATTTCTCATACAACTGAGTAAAAGTGAATCTCTCTCTCTTAATTAGTCTCATCGACTGTGTACATTCTACTGCCAGAAAGGCCTACTTGATTTATTTATTTTTTTTCTTGATGTAATTATTAGCCCTTTCCATCTCAAATTATCGTTAAGTTCATGCTTTTTAAACATTGGCTCCTTTACTGTATTGGTACTCATATTTACTATCCAGCCCGTTTTATTTATTAGTCAGAGAAGTGGAGCGACGGGTAAGCGTCTAGAATGAGCTTCCAAAAGAAGCTTCTTTTATAATCTCGTTTTAGAATTTTCTGTTAGAGGCTTATTCTAGATGCTTGTCCATTGCTCCTATCCTTATTTAAAAACAAGGGCAGGACAGTAAATCTGAGTAGGAAAATTAATATTCTATTACAGATTTGCATGAAAAGTATGCAGAATTTGTACTGTTTCGTGGCATGAACAGATTCTGTGATGTGGTCGCCGGAAGGGTTTTTGAATAATTTTGTAATTTTTATGACAGCTTAATTTTCGAACACAGTTTGTTTCCCCAAATGCGTTGCGTCTAGAAAATTATCTCGTGATGGTTTTATACAAAAATATGCATTCTGGAAATACTTGCTTTATGCTGCCATTATATTTGTTGTATGGAACATATGCAGGGGATGTAATAAATCTAACCTTGCATTGGATGTAAGATCATTTTGTTTTGCATGTACCAGTAAAGGAGCATTTTTCCAACGTTTAAAGTGCATTTCATCGTTTTAATACACTGAAACCTCCGTTTACGAAGTCTTTTTTTACGCAGAATTCAATTTACGTCCCTCTTTTACGAAGTAAATCCCAAATAACGAGTTTTCTTTTTACGAAGTAAATTCCAAATAACGAGTTTTTTTTTGCGATTATGGGAATCTGGGAAAAAAATATGAAATATCCCACAATATGGGTATCTTTGGAATCGGAGTGAGATGTAGGAACCGGAAACCCATGTCTGACGCCATTTTGAAATCCAAGATGGCGGCATCCGGTTCATGAAAAACTGGAAGATACTTTCAATACCCCACAATATGGGTATATTTGGAATCAGGGTGACGTGTAGGAACTGGAAATCTATGTTTGACGTCATCTTGAGATCCAAGATGGCGGCTTCCGGTTACAGAAGAACTTGGACATTCTGCCATATACAACACAAAATGGGTATTTTTGGAATCGGAGTGACGTGAAGGGACCGAAAATTGATGTCTCACCCTATTTTGAAATCCAAGATGGCGACTTCCGGTTACAGAAAAACTTGGATATTCTGCCAAATACCCCACAATATGGGTATTTTTTGGAATCAGGGTGATGTGCAGGGACCAGAAATCGATGTTTGACCCAATTTTGAAATCCAAGATGGCGACTTCCGGTTACAGAAAAACTTGGACATTCTGACATATACAACACAAAATGGGTATTTTTGGAATCGAAGTGACGTGAAGGGACCGAAAATTGATATCTGACGCCATTTTGAAATCCAAGATGGCGACTTCCGGTAACAGAAAAACTTGGAAATTCTGCCAAATACCCCACAATATGGGTATTTTTGGAATCAGGGTGATGTGCAAGGACCAGAAATCGATATCTGACGCTATTTTGAAATCCAATATGGCGACTTCCAGTTACTGAAAAACTTCGAAATTCTGTAAAATAGCCCACAATATGGTTATTTTTGGAATCAGAGTGACGTATAGGGAACGGAGATCGATATCTGACGCCATTTTGAAATCCAAGATGGCGACTTCCGATTACAGAAAAACTTTGAAATTCTGTCAAATAGCCCACAATATGGGTATTTTTGGAATCGGAGTGACGTATAAGGAACGTCAATATCTGACGCCATTTTGAAATCCAAGATGGCGACTTCCGGTTACACAAAAACTTAGAAATTCTGCCAAATACCCCACAATATGGGTATTTTTGGAATCAGGGTGATGTGCAGGGACCAGAAATCGATGTCTGACCCAATTTTGAAATCCAAGATGGCGACTTCCGGTTACAGAAAAACTTGGAGATTCTGCCATATACAACACAAAATGGGTATTTTTGGAATCGGAGTGACGTATAGGGAACGGAAATTGATATCTGACGCCATTTTGAAATCCAAGATGGTGACTTCCAGTTACAGAAAAACTTCGAAATTCTGTTCAATAGCCCACAATATGAGTATTTTTGGAATCGGGGTGACTTATCAGGACTGAAAACCCATGTATGACGCCATTTTGAAATTCAGTATGGTGACTTACGGTTACACAAAAATCATGTTAAATAACCTACAATACGGGTATCTTAAGAATCGGGATGACCATCTTGGATTTCTAAATGGCGTCAGACATGGATTCTCGGTTCTCACAGGTTACTCCGATTCAAAAATATCCATATTGTTGTGTATTTAACGGTATTTTTCTGTTTCCTGTAACCGGAAGCCACTATCTTGGATTGAAAAATTACGTCACACATCGATTTCCGGTCCCTACACGTCATTTCGCTTCCAAAAATACCCATATTGTGGGCTATTTGACAGAATTTCCAAGTTTTTCTGTAACTGGAAGTCGCCATATTGGATTTCGAAATGGCGTCAGACATCGATATCCGGTCCCTACACGTTGCTCCGATTTTCCGATATTTAATTTACTAGAATCAAGGAATGTCTCGAGCCAGTTCTCTAAAACTCCAACAAAACGCTGGTCACTAAAACTGGGAGAATGATAAAAAACACCATAATTACCCATCTTCATGCCACGTACAATTGTAATGCCCAAGAACCAGTTGCCATCAATAACTTCGTTGGTACGAAGGTTGAATTGAACTGATTCTTTGACATAAATAGCAACACCGCCACTGTGTCTAGAGTGTGATAAACGCAGCAACAATATATCCCGGAATACTATACTGATCAAAAGCTTCAGTTTCTACAGTAGTTTCTACGAAGTAAATCCCAAATAACGACTTTTCTTTTTACGAAGTAAATCCCAAATAACGAGGTTTTTTTTACGCACTAATTCGATTTACGAACCCCCGTTTTGGTTCGTAAATGGAGGTTCCAGTGTATTACAAAAAAAAAAGAAGCATTTTCTCTTTGATAGCACTGCATATAAATGAGAACACGAATATATGTAGATTATATAGATGTAGATCAATTTAGCTTATAGAGCTGTTTTGGGACCTCCCTTAGTTCGGTCGGTAAAGTCACAGCTATAAAGGAAGACCTTGATGGAGTTCGATTGCTGGTACGATCTAGGAATTTTGCGAATTGGAGAATGTCTCGACTTCCATGGGAATAGAGTATGATTGTACTTGCCGTCGAAGCATAGCATAGAAAGCTCTCAACTAACAACTGCGGTAGTTCTGAGGGCAAGCGTTAGGTTCCTGAAGCAGAAAATACTGCACTGAATCCCCTTAAACATGTGATCGCAATAGCAAGATAATTACGGAAAATCTTTCAGAATTCATCAATCGATCAACATTGCTCACCACTGCGATCGAATCATCGACTGCGAGGACGGAACGGACGAGCTACGCTGCACGTGCAAGGACTACCTGAAGGACAAGTACGACTTTTTGATCTGCGACGGCAAGACGGATTGTTTGGATTTGACGGATGAGGAAGATTGCTGTAAGATTTGAAATTCTACATCGTTGAACTGAACAATCTTCTAAAAATGTATTACCCGCAGTTTCTTGCGAAGTCGGCCAGTATCCCTGTCGGATGAGTAAAGTTTGTATCGATGAGAAGAAGCTATGCGATACTAATCCGGACTGCCCACTACACGAAGATGAGCTTGACTGTCGTAAGTTTTGCTCGGCATGTTATGAGCAAACTAGCCTACTACGTTTTGTTTTTGTTTTTTTTTCTATTCTATTCAGTTGCCCTTACCGACGGTCACAAAGTCTACTTCGATGCGAATAACCTTTCCGAGTTCAAATACGAAGGATTGGTCGCTCAAAGCACCAACGGAACGTGGAATCTCATCTGCGGAGCAGAAGTTAACAATAAATCTGTAGAATCAATTGGAAAGATCTGCTCTTTCTTGGGATTTGCGTAAGTTTCCAATCGAAGTTTGAATAATATTCATCTAACAGAAGTATTTCAGTGGTCATCGAAGCTACTACCAAACCGTCCTGGAGCCGTTGTACAACGAAACAATAGACCTGGAGCGTCAACCGCTACTAATCAAATCCTACCGGAACATTACCTCAGAGCCGAACTGCAAAGCGCTTCACATCACCTGTATGCCGTACATAAATGCCACCGAGCACGAAATCAGCCACTTTGAAAATCAACACAAGGAGCAACCGATTCAGGTTAACATCCAACCAATCAATCCACTCGCTGACATCTTCTCCAAGACGCATCTAACCTTCCACGAGAATGCTCACATTGAGTTCATCGAAAACTTTGGTGATGACTACGATTGGCCGTGGAATGCCGACATCTACCTGGAGGGTGTGTTCCTGTGCAGTTCGATCATCATCGATGTGAACTGGATCGTGGTCGATAGCTCGTGCATGAGAATGATCAATCTAAAGCATGACTTCATTTCGGTGGTGGCCGGCGGGGCCAAATCCTACCTGAAGATATCCGGACCCTACGAACAGGTGGTTCGAGTGGATTGCTACCACTTCTTACCGGACGCACGGGTTGTGATGCTGCATCTGGAGAAGAATTTGACGTTCACCCGCCATGTCCTGCCGACGTTCATTCCGCAGAAGTACGATTGAATTTGAATGGTTTGGTTTGATTAAATGAGTGAAATGATCTTTACAGGAGCCATGAAATCGAGGATAATCAGTGCATCGCGGTTGGACAAGACAAATACGGTCGGACCAGAACTCTTAAAGTTCACATGAATATGACGAATTGTGGTGATCCGACGAAGTTCATCTGTTACCAGTTGGATCCAGATAAGGGAATCTACAATGCCGATCACTGCTATTCTGAAGGTAAGATCTTCCGAGCGTTCGGTTTTTCAGCTTATGAAAATCTTGCATTTCAGATGCCACCCGTTCGGGAGTTGTCGTTTGTAAGACCAAGCTATCTGGATGGTATCCCGTCGGCTTCTACCAAAACAAACACGGTCTCTGCGGATTCAACGAAGTCGTTAAGATGATCTCACTCAAGGAATTCTACACCGACATCCAACATGTGCTGAGTCATACACAGTGTGACTACGAGTTTCCTGCACCACTCTGTACTGGACTTCGGTGTCGATACGGCAAATGCATTGGACATTCGTTGGTTTGCGACAACAAACTGGACTGCGACGACGATTCCGATGAACGTCCGGAGGCGTGCAATGCGAGAAACGATACGTCGACTGCCTGCCTACCAACGCAATTCCGCTGCGGAAACCACCAGTGCATCGACAAGAACAAGTTCTGCAATGGACGAAACGATTGTGGAGATCTGTCGGACGAACCACACGAGTGCTCATGCTACACATATCTAAAGTAGGTTGAATAATTGCATATTCTGGAAGATAACTTTATAGTCATGCATATTTTCAGGGCTACCGATCCAGCGAAGATCTGCGATGGTGTTCGGAACTGTTGGGATAAAACGGACGAAAATCCTCGGCTTTGCAAGTGCCAGAAAACTAGCTTCCACTGTGGTGACAGTGGAACCTGTATTCCGTATGATCATGTTTGCGATGGTGAGATCGATTGTCCGGGAGAGGAAGACGAACGCTTCTGCTACGCACTGCAGCAGAATCCGGCGGAGACGTAAGTACACTGCATAACTATTTGGCGAATCATTCTAACAAACGAAAAACTCTACCGCAGCAACTACGGCGAAGTGATGCAGCAGAGCCACGGCATCTGGCATTCGAAGTGTTTCCCCAAAAACGATAAGTACGACGATCTAACGATCAAGAAAATGTGTGAGCTCGTCGGGTACCATCGAGTGCAAAAAGTGTATGGAAGAAAAATGCTTCTGGATTCACGGCTAAGGACGGCCAAACGGACACACGATCCCGTCGATAGGTTGCGAGGATCAGCAACGAAAACCGTGGTGCTCAATAAATTTTCCAAAGTGGCGATCAACGAGAAGCAGGCGTTCTATATGAAACCTAGTAGGCCATTGTTCAAACTGGTCAACTGGGATGCCGAAGACGAGCTGAAATGCGATCGACTGGAGATCAACTGTGGAGACTGATTTTTAGAATAAATTAAACAAAAAACGAAAAACTCCCATCTGGGTAGCCTTGCGATGACCTCCAAAGAAATCAGAATAATCACCTGGTGGTGAGACTCACCAAAATTAATGTGAAGAAATTAAGCTGCAATCGAATACTGATGCAGTGATGGAAAAAATCAAGAAAATCCTAAATCAGAAACGGTCGAAAATCACTGCTGATTTTGGGATCAGGAAAATCACAAACAGAAAATCACGGCGGATTTTATCTTAGCTGATCTTGAGAGTAGCAAAATCACACAGCAGAAAATCAAGGCTGATTTTAACCTTTGCTGATTTTGCGGTCACAAAAACCAAACGGAAAATCAATATTAGAATTGGAATTACAATCAAAGTAAAAATCCGACATCCACCGCCATTTTGGAATTCAAGATGGCGGACCAAAATCCAATATGGCCGCCCCGGACAGGGAATATTCATCTAAACCTATGCAATATGGGTTTCTACGGAATGGTCTCGATGAGAGGAAGCGAAAAATTGACATCCGCCGCCATTTTGGAATCCAATATGGCGGACCAAAATTCAATATGGCGGCCCCCGGACTAGGAATATGCATTTAAACCCATGCAATATGGGTATCTGCGGAATGAGGTCGATGAAAGGAAGTGGAAAATTGACATCCGCCGCCATTTTGGAACACAATATGGCAGACCAAAATCCAATCTGGCGGCCCCCGGACTAGGAATATGCATTTAAACCCATGCAATATGGGTATCTGCGAAATGGGCTCGATGAGTGGAAGTAGAAAATTGACATCTGCCGCCATTTTGGAATTCAAGATGGTGGACCAAAATCCAATATTGACATTGAAATTGGCGGACCAAAATTCAATATGGCGGCCCCCGGACTAGGAATATGCATTTAAACCCATGCAATATGGGTATCTGCGGAATGGGCTCGATGAAAGGAAGTGGAAAATTGACATCCGCCGCCATTTTGGAATACAATATGGCAGACCAAACTCCAATCTGGCGGCCCCCGGACTAGGAATATGCATTTAAACCCATGCAATATGGGTATCTGCGAAATGGGCTCGATGAGTGGAAGTAGAAAATTGACATCCGCCGCCATTTTGGAATTCAAGATGGTGGACCAAAATCCAATATTGACATGGAAATTGGCGGACCAAAATTAAATATGGCGGCCCCGGACTAGGAATATGCATTTAAACCCATGCAATATGGGTATCTACGGAATGAGCTCGATGAGTGGAAGTAGAAAATTGACATCCGCCGCCATTTAGGAATTCAAGATGGTAGACCAAAATCCAATATGGTGGCACCGGACAAGAAATATGCATCTAAACCCATGCAATATGGGTATCTACGGAATGGGCTAGATGAGTCGAAGTGGAAAATTGACATCCGCTGCAATTTTGGAATCCAGGATGTCAGACCAAAATCCAATATGGTTGCCCCGAACTGGGAATATGCATTTAAACCCATGCAATATGGGTATCTACGGAATGAGTTCGATGAGTGGAAGTTGAAAATTGACATCCGCCGCCATTTTTGAATTCAATATGGCGGACCAAAATCCAATAGGCGGCCCCGGACATGGAATATATATCTAAACCTATGTAATATGGGTATCTGCAGAATGGGCTCTTGATTTCCAAAATGGCAGCGGATTTCAATTTTCCACTTCCACTCATCCAGACCAACTCTGATGGCATGAAATTTCGGGGATATTTCTAACTCGAATTGCGTTGTAGCCATACTGCTAATTTCCTGTAATAATTGAACAAAAAGCCATGCAAAAATGCTGGAAGGAAGCATCAACGCCGGCAGATTCTGACGTATTCAAAGATTGTGTACCACCACAGAATCATCCTTACACACTTAGAAAAAAATGTGGTAAATTTAGGTGCTCTGAAACTGACATATATGAGCGTTAATTTTGACATACAATTCAGTAATAGCAGACACGAAATTCAGCTCAATCAACCGTACTTTCGACGAGTAACGAATTTTACAGTCTCGAAGCACTTAATTTTACATGAAATGATTGTTTACGTCTCATCCTTTATGGCAAAGATGGATTCCGTCACGTGTAAAATTAGTTATTTCTAAGTGTGAACGCTTAAAATTTCAAAATGGTATTACATTTTTTCGTGTTCTTAGAAATCCATGGAATGTTTGTTCAAGATATCAGTTATAAATTGCTGAATGCGGATGGCACTATTGACAAAGCAGCCACTGACAAGTCCGGAGTGATTTGAAATTTGGACGAAAGCAATGTAACAAACATGTCAATCGCCGATTTCTGGCGAAGAAAAGCTCAATCTCGTAAACAAACTAAACCAAATGATAGAAAAATCATTTCTCTACCTGACCGTGTTATTAGTTTCCGATATTGACCTTTAATTCGCAAGAAATCGGCGATTGAAGTGTTTATTTACAAAAGCAATTACGTCCAAATCTCAAATTTGTCCGGCGATAAAATGATGCATGCAAACCAGGTGAAAGTATCCAAGCTGGAAAAGTGTGCCATGAATCCGACGGTGTTGACCACAGATGTCCAAACTTGCAAATGCTCATTACAGCTAAAATACTATTTTTCGGATTTATGAAATTATGAGATATTTGAATGATAATTGTTTTTTACAAGATTCAAGAAGAGAAGGTAAAGTATGTGTGTGACACATAAAACCTGTCAATTTAGCTTTCAAAGGGTCACAATAGCGATTAGCTGTAACGATGAGCAACGCGATGAGCGAGTAATCATCGATCATAAAATCACTAGTTCTTGACCTTCTGATAGCAAAATTGACAAATTTTATATGTCATACACAAACTTTTCCACCTCTTCTTGCTTCTTACAAATTAAAATTATCATTATAGTATCTCATAGTTTCGTAATAACGAAAAATAGCATTTTAGCTGTAATGAGCGATTACAAGCCTATCTGTGTCAGTGCAAAGACGCTTGCGGTGACTTTGGATCATTTTCAGATATGTCCGGAAAAGTCATGGAACCAAAGTATAGTGTTACTATGCTGGCATAACTTTAATAAACAACTAAAGTATACAAATATTCCATCTAGGTTCATCTTGCGCAATATGGAAAACAAAATACATGGAAACCTATACTGATAGTGTTGAAATCAGCAGCTAGTAAGAAGTGGATATAAATGATGCGTAGTAATAAAAACTAGAGAGGGTCTAGGATAAGAGAGGAGTGTATTCTTATATCCAGGTGGTTTCTAGCAACACTGCCAATGCTATCAAGATATCCACTGCTCGCTTTGACAGTGTGTTTGGCTCCAAACCAGTCAGTTCCTCTCTCATCTAAACTAAAATCAGTGGTGTTGAGTACTTTTCACTGATGAAGTCTGCAAGTAGTAGACGAAATACGCGTATCTGTCAAAAGATAAGCAATTATAACCAGAGGTGGCAACAGTACATTTTTTGCAAAACCATCGTCCAGAGCAAAACAAAACAGCCGGCACACGGCCAGTCGTGTGTTTCTACATTACTAGCAAACAGCGGAGATAGAGAATAGGAAAAATGTCGTAGTTCATTATTTTTCAAACATTTTATTGAAATTACATTTTAGCTGCAAGCTTACGTGTGAAAGTAAATTATCAACCCCTCATTTACGCATAATTTTAACATCTATGCTTATGAGTGGTTAGTATTCATTCTTGTCTTATAATTCCATGCAATAAACCTCAAATAAATGCTATAATTAGTCAGAAATCAGCTACATTTTATATGACATAAATTTAGGTCGCACTCGCCGCTGGTCTTGTCTGCTTCATAGTGCGAAAATGTTCTGTCGCCTGCAGAAAAAAGTTTAGAAATGTCATGACATTTTTTTCCGTTTGCCAGTTTGTGTTTGTGTGTCTTCTCTATAGTCATTGCGCAAAGTATCAAACGGAATTTAAAGGAAATAAACCAACACAAATTACTCACCCGAAAAATTTTCTACACCAAACCAGGAATCACTCGACGAAACCGGCTTGGTTATACCATAGAGGTAACTCTAAGACTAGTACGTCCCGAAGAAACGTGCTCAACTTTTTGGCTCAGTTCTGGTACTATCTTCGGTCCCAAGCTAATCGATTAACCCCTCGAAACATAGGAAAATCCAATAACCCCTCATTTTATCTGTCAAACTTTCATAGCGAATCAAAACAAACATTATGTAGTACTAGAATTTCGACTAGAATGGGGTACGTCAATCGATTTGCTTGGTACCAATAGGCTAGTCAAGTAGTGAGCCAATTTAAAATCGTTAGTTTCGTATTGATTGTTGGAAATACCGTGTTTAACAGATTAGTCTACCTGTGATCCCACAGTATAACATAGATAAGACATTTGTTTTGGAGGAGCTCAGCATGTTTTGGAAGTACATTTAAGCCGTTAATGCATTTAAACATAAGAAACAGACCGTTGGAATGCTGCACAGAATAATTTATGTTCACAAATATGCATTGAATAACAAATAAACCAGCTCCAAGATCACACAACGCATTACGAAGTTACCTCAACGCTTATTATCAATCGCAGAAAATGGACATCCTTTGGCCAGTTTACCTGCAAGTTCAACGCAGCCGTCACTCACGTCCCATACAGCTGGAGGACAAATCTGCAAAAAAATCTCTTTCAATTCCTAACTCGAACTAAAATCTACAGCCTACCTTAAATAATTCCGTCTCAATGCAGGTCATTAGGAAGGCGGGAACAAAACTGCACTTTGCCTTTTCATGGTCCGGTATCGCAGTAACCCAGTCGTAACACTTGTCATAGACGCCTCCTATAAGGGGGGCAAAATTTGGATCCTCACCAACCAAATTTACAAACAACAATTTGGCAGCCTCCTTGTCCACAGTTCGATTCTTCATGACGCCCGACTCTTGGGCAATACATTCTCCTACGCACTGAATTGTAATAAAATACCGATAAAAAACATAAACTGAATAATGTACAAGTACCTAGCACATACGATAAGTTGATCATGCTCAGTCTGCGTCGGATCAAGCTTAGCAATGCATGAATTCGTGACATCGTCACCAAGCTCCACAGGACTTTTGCAGCAATCATCGGCCCGCTTGCTGGTTTTCAACTCATAACAGGATGGGTCGACAGGTGCACCATGTGCTGAAATCTGAGCGAATGAGTTGGTTGAAAAATTTGCTTCGAATCAATGTTTTTAAATGAAAACTACTTACATAGCCTACTAAGAGTGATAGAATGATAAACCACAAATTGAACATTGCTATGCCTTCTAGATTTGAAACTGCAATGATGGACTGCTCAAATTTGTTTGCTTTTTATATGTGATCTATTTTCCTATTCTAAACACATAATGATCGATCCAAAAAAGTTCGACAATGGGTAAGCTGATTACACGGTCATTGGAAATTCAAATTAGCCTTTCGTTCACACTTTTGGTCATGTTCGGTTGCATGTCATCGTTAAATCAAATGTAGCGTTATGAAGGAAGTATGCTTTTTATCTGATTTTTTTTTTCGCAGTTATTATAATCATGAAATTGCTACAAAGGGACAACCCTTGGTAAGCTTTCGTTTAAGTTCATCGCATTCTGATCCTACTTTCCAAACTCCGGTGGGACAGTTCTGGAATTATTGAAATCATAATTACGACTCGTTACCCGTTGAATAGCATTCAAAGCAACGATACAAACCAGAAACAAACTTGACTGCAGACAGTTCAACAACAGCATGGGCAGGGCACTGCAATTCGGCGGATTTGACTGTTCGTAAGCCATGTTCACCGACAATTGTCTATAGCACTGGTCAAATGTGCTACCGATTATGGGTGCAAAATTTGGATTTGATCCAATTTTCAAATTAAACAACCGCAGGGCAGCTTCCCTGTCTAGGTTGTTATCCTTGTAGACATTCAACTTCTTGGCAATGCATGCCACGAGGCACTGTTTAAAGATGAAAGTAATTGTACCTAATTCGTTCCAAGATTATTTCAGTAATGTACCTTATACTTTTCTGTGGCGTCAGTAGGATTTCCCATTGACAGTAGACAGTCTGAAACTTGCTGGTTATCATAAGGTTTTGGTATCAAGCAGCAATCATCCGCCCTTTTGGATGTACTTATCTCGAAACAGGTTGGATCCGGTGAAAAGCTGTTCACTGAAATCTAGCGAGGAAATCAATTAATGGCAAAGCAATCCATGATTATTCTTAATAAGCATCACTTACTGCGAGGCATAATAGTAAAAGTAATGAATTGACGAACTGTTTCCACATTTTTTCAGACAATAAGTAGGCTTTGGTTGCTTGGAATTGAATGAAGAAGGAATCGTTCTGCATCACGGTTTATATAACGAGCTCACTGTAACTATCTGCTATGATTTTAAAAATTACAACATCTTGAAAAGGCAATGAACCTTTCCTTGTTGACGTGTTTGGTATAACTCTCACGTCTTGAACAAATTAAGCGTAACATAGCCTGCCTCATAAGCAGGGTCTGTATGATGCTTCTTAAAGGGTTGGGCTTTGTTGTGACGTTCTACACGTACTACTTTGTACGTATTTTGTTAGGCTTGTTATAACTGTTCGTACATCTTGAACCATCTTGGATTAAACATTGAATTTCAACCAGTTTTCAAAAGCCTACTTCTAACTTCTAACTTAGGCACATCACTATTCTTACAATTTTTGTTGAGGTCTCCAATAACTGTACCAAATTTAGAACGAATTCGGTTGCGATTTGGATTTTCGAGTGTTCTAGATGCACTTCCATTTTTTTTAATTTACATTCGCCATCGACTATGTCGCACAGACTACTTACCTACGTGTCTAATTCTATTTTTAAAACAATTTTTAGTTATACTAAAGTCAAAACAGGTTGCTAAAATCCCTGAAGCAGGAGCTAAATGGGCTGTTGTACCCGTAACTAGTCCTATGTCGTGGAACAATAATTAATTTGAGCATGAGCATTATTGACCGCCCACGGTTGCTACTCTGTTATTTCCAGACCAACTGTAATTACACAGAGAACCAATAGACGATGCTTGGGATTAGCAATCATCCTCAATGTGTAAAAACTGGTGATCTCGAATTAGGCAATACCAGCGCCAGTCGCGCCTGAACGCAGGTCAAGAAAGGAATGGGTAGGAATGTGTTGACGTGACACTCGCTTTGATGGAAGCCGAGGAGTCCTCTGCACTTCCACGAGGAATCACAAGGATGTTGGGTAAGAGGGTTTGGTTTTCAGCAGGGTTTGTTTTGGTAAACGATAAGCTGAATTAATGTCCTAACGATCGTTTAACGCGAAGGAGCTTGGGATTGAACCCACGGTCTTCTGCTCAGTAAGCAAAAACGTTTGCCACTAGGCAGACGAGCTCCTTTTTAATCATTGACGAATCTTGAATGTGGATGGGCTTGAGATTAGACTCATGATTGTGGTGACCGACTTCTTTTTCGCCGTCCATTTTTAATATTAAAGATTTTTTTTTTCCTTATAACAACTGTACACTCCAAGATTAGTTTTCTGAATGCAGACCTCAGCCACACTCGAATTTTTCTAGCTCGCATTTTCTCAATCTCACACGCACACCTCTAACAAAACTCTTAACTGAAAACCCGTGTCTTGTCGGCACACAATTACAATCTCATCCCATTATCTTAGATCCTAATTCGCATACACACAAACATGCTAATTCGTGCGCTTGCCGATCCATTTTAGTCGGAACACAATTAGACCATACCCAACAAACATTGGAAGCCGAATAAGAGCTTATTCAGTCAAAAATATGCTTCTTCAGCTAAAAAATAGCTTATTCAGCCTTTATTCAACACAAATTGTTTGTTGGGTAGTCCCTCAACTAATACAGTTCGCTCTCAAAAGCATTCAACACACACATTTAATTCACCCAAACAAATACACCTTTATATCAGATATATTGGTTTCCATCGCTCAGCTTTCATTTGACATTCATAACAACTTTCACATTAAAGCTCTCCTGAGACTCCAACCATAAGCAACACGATAGTTTATCCAAGATCGTCCAATACTATATATTCGCAGTAAACTGTGTGAGAAGCGTAAACGTCAGTTTGTTTATTTGCTTCTGTTTTGATCTGTGGATCCCATCCAGAAAATATTCAGTTTCGGTCATTGCGTCATGTAATAAATCAATCCTCAATTGGTGAGTTATTTTTTTCATTATAATTTTATTCTTTTTATTTATAGGTATCATCTACATTACTACAATGATGTTCTGCTCAGTAAGCAAAAACGGTTGCTCTAAGGCCACCGAGCCTCTCATATCACATTATAGCGTTACTCAAGTTTTTATAACTATTCAAACCCGGCACCGACGACAACGAAAAGTTTTACAAAATACACGATAAACAAGCGATCTTACCATGCATTTTTAATATGAAAGGATCTAGGACCGCGTTTTTCTCTTCCTCAGTAAGCAAGCGAAGATCTTTGAAATCCTTAAACTAATAGCTACGAAAGAGTACTTAGGCCTTCATTAAGATACACTTTCACGCGATGTTCAATGTTTCGATTTTCTCTTTACGCATGGTTCAGACAATCATAACAAGCTATGACCGACGTGACGATTGTTTAAGACCTGGTTAAATAAGCTATTCAAATGAAATTACGTTCTCGAATTTCACTTGGAATGTAATGAACAACAGAAATACGCGATAATTCATATTTTCAGCGGTTGATGCTTAATTTTAAATATACTAACGGTACTGTCTACGACTACGAAGGCCATTACGACAGCGACTACGACGGCGCCTAAACTCAAAAAACTACACACGTCTGATCTAACTGTTTGAACACTTGATATTTTATTTGCACAATCACATTTATTTTAAGTGTATTTCACCATGGTTCAATGTGTTCTACACGTTAATTTCTTGTGTTTCAAACTTTGAAATGTTGACAATCTTTCTCTATCAATTCAAGTGTATTGCACATTGAATCGCACTACTGTTCAAAACAGATGGATTTGAAGTGTTTTGCATTTCAATGCGGTGTGAAATGCTTGTTCTGCAAGGTAAACATTGAAAACATGAGTTGTGACTTCATACTTGCCAACCAGCTTCATATATGAGAACAACCATGGACCAGTGAGATCGAACGAAGACAGCTGCAGCAGCACACCCCAACAGTTCAGGATCAATTCCCAAATCAGACCCATTAATTAAAAGGCATGTGTATGCTCTACCCTTTGGCAGTTTTGTTTATATATTTGTCGATTTAATATTGAGTCGGTAAAGTAGAAGTCGATAAAGTAGAATATTGTTGAGCATTGAACTATGATGTACAAAGCTATTGATATCATCATGTGAGGCACATAGAATCCAAGTGCGTCACAATTCGAACCAATAGTTTCGAGGCATGGTTCAAAGCATAAGATTCACACATGAAATGGATGTGTTTCACAATAAGCGCAAAATTAAGTGTGAGGCACATGATGATGACGTGTGAAATTTTTTGAGTGTACGAAAACGACAACAGAGAATTTGTAACTTACCATTTGTCTAGGATAAACACCCGGCCCGGCACCTCCACTGGTTCTTCATGTCCGCTATCTGTCACTGTTTGCAAAATATCTAATAGTAATTACCTTTGTTGTAATACTTCCTGTATTGCCATGGTCATCTGGGAGGAGGTTCGCATCTAGTGCTTTCCCCAGGAACCGTTCACGGCCACCAGCTACCGCCCGTCCAGTCTTGGGTGTATCCAGCGAGGCATCCTTCAGCTTACTCACAATCTCCGTCACTCGATGCAAATCGCAGGCACACTTACGCTAGTTACAAAAAAAAAAAAAAAAACACCCGTGCAAAGAAACGGATCCAATAAACGTCACTCTTGCGAAAGCACACCCGTCGTCGTCGAACGGCAAAAAAGGAATCGGTGGGCAATTTAGTGATACGGATTTCCAAAATCAAACGGGAATGCACGAATTTCACCACACCCAACTGCGAAACACGTTCAGAAGCACTTATGGTACACTTTCGTTCGAAAACACTTATTTTCTTCAAAAACAGTTGCGAGTGAACCAACATCATCACCGCGTAAATAAACTAAAATTAAAATTATCACTCGCGATGCCGCAAATTTCTGGACTGGGAGAAAAAATCAAACAACGCAGATAGCGTTAAATCTTCTGTTGCTTGCAAACATGATGAATCATGTTTTCTTTCTCGATTCTAAAACTTCTCGGAAAGCGAGAAAACCACCACTCACATACGTATAACCGTCCGGGAGGCAGAGTGCCAGCGCTAATCCGGCAAATGCAGCCGAAAACTATGAAAACGAATGCACGCGCAAAACAGAGAACAAACTTAATACACAACCGTATCCAAAGGGCGTTCGAAACTCCTCTCCGTGGAACAATAATAAATTTCTAAAGATAAAAATTATTACAGTACCCGTTCGACTTTGGCATGGTTCGATATTGGCAACAAAACCACAAAGCTGTTCGATTTTGGGATGGGGTTCAATTAAACGGATGTTTGTAGATAATGTATTTTCGGTTCATGCGATCACAATTTTTAATAAAATTAAAATTATTGAAGTCTTAGTCATGAAGATGATTCCTCTCTACTTCTCGGTGGTCCAAAATCGTCGGAATCATAAAAGAAGTTTTAAAATAAAACGAAAGTCGAAATATATCGTTTGAGGCAAAGAAAATGATCGGTGAAATCAATAGTAGTTAAATATATAAAAAGGATACAATAAATTAGTCTTAAGAGTGAGTTTGTAACGAACGGAAGCAAAAAATAAAAAAAAATCGTCCGTTTAGCGAAAACTAGAAAAAAAAGAAGATTTTAGTTTCAGTCGCTTGGAAATGGATGGTCTAGAAATCGAGAAGGTGAATAAAGAACTATACGCCAAGAATCACCAGCAGATCAAGCAACTTGCTGCAATTGCTGTCCATAGATATACAAGGAACATGGTTCAGCAATCATCCAAGTCTCAGTACCGTACTCATGGAAACGAGGATGGATTGCCTAGAAGTCAACATCGGTCATCTGGAAACAGACAAAGCTTTCGAGGAGGAGGAGGATATTTGCGGAGTGGATCTACAAGATATACAACAGTTTCTCGTAATCCATGTTGGAGGTGCACTAGTTCATTCCATGTAGCTGCGAATTGCCATGCAATTGTGAAAATTTGCCACCATTGTTAAAAGAAGGGTCACATCGAACGTGCATGTCGTGCAGAGAATTCCACGA